AAGGGGCAGGGAGGAGATGAGGGTGGGAGGGTGGGATTGGGAGGGAAAGAGGGAACCAGATACAGCAGGGATATAAAGTTAACAAACTGTAACTAATATTAAAAAAATAAAAATAAAAAAAGAGATAAGCTCCCTCACGCCAGCTTCAGAAGGTTGCTGCCCACATTTTTTAAAAAAGATTTATTTCTTTTTATGTATATGAACACTTTTTTCACGTACAGCAGAAGCAGGAATCAGATTCCATTCCAGATTGTTGTGAACCACCATGTGGTTGTTGGGAATTGTGCGCATATACACACCTAATGGTTCCTTCTTTTCTATTTCCAGACTCGCCTCTGTCCCTCTGTCGTCCCGTTTTCTGCATCCCACATCTACACCTTTGCCATATGGTCCTGCTCTCAATCTCTTTCTTACCTTCTTCCTGTTATCGCCTAACTTCCCTCTTAGCCTCTTATAGGGTCTGAGGACTTCTCTGCCAATCAGGAGGGGTGTGGTCCAGGGCAAGAGCTCTGGGGCTTCAGATTAGCATCTTAGATGGCACTTAGGACTGAGCTTGGACAGAAGTTAAGATGGAGCTGCTGCAGGACTATACCCTGCTGTGACCTAGGGGCCTGGAGCCAGCATATTGGTTCCCCAGGAGGCGCTAGGGCAACATCAGTGGAAAACTAAGGGCTCAGCTCTCAGGTCACAAACCTCAAGCTTCTCAGACCCTTTGGCCATAGCTGCTATAGGACTCCTGAGACAGCCACCAGCCTATAAGACAGGCAGTATGGTCAGGGTGAGCACTTGGAAACCAGAAGATGACAGGTGTGGGTTATAAAGACACAATACCAAAAATATTTGTCAAAATTTTTTTGTTTTTGTTTTTTTACTTTTTGTTTTGATAGGGTCTTGCTGTGTGGTCCAGGCTGGCCTATTCTGCCTGCCCCAGTCCTCCAAAAGCTGAGATTATAGGCCTGCCCCACCATACCTGGCTCTTTTTGCTTTTTAAATGACAATTAAAATAATTAGAAATTCATGTCTTCATATTTGTTTCTGTGGAACATAGCCAGTCTTAGCTTTGAAAGACATCAGAGAGGCCTTTGAATGGTTTCTCACAATCGGAAACAGGTCGTAGAAACTTGGCTTCGTCTCTAGAACCACACTGATCCCTGACTGTGGTCAGTGCCAGCATCTCCCTGTGGCTGGTCCTGTCGTCAACGGTAAGACCATTGCAGTGGCTCCTTTTCCTGAGAGAACAGCCCTTCCCTACTTCAAACCACCCCCAGGAAAATGGGCCACCATCTGGGCCATTAAGATAAAGTTTATAGTCACAGTGAATCACAGTGGAGCGGGGAGGAGAAAGAAAGAGGAGAGGAAGAGAGAGAGTGAGAGAGAGAGGAGGGGGAAGTGTTAGGGAAGAACTCATGTCAATAAAAAAGGTATGGGAGCAGACGTGGTCCTTACCACACCTGCTCGTGGGCTGTGGGGCTGTGAGCGGTCCATGGATCCATGCTGCACTTGCCCTATGTGCCCTTCCCGGCACATCTGCAGCCAAAGCAGGTTTAGTGTTCCCGAGAGCCAGACACCAATAGATTCCTTCTCCCTGCCCTTCCCCCCAGTGCGGTCGCCCAGGGGATTAGGTTTCCTCCCCTTCTGCCACTGGGGAAGTGGCAAGAATGAGCCAGTGACTCTCAGAATCTCCTGGCAGGGGAGTGAAGGGTGAGGGGGCAGGCCCTCTTTTCTGGTGGGGTCTGTTGCTTCTGGAGGAGGAGAAACACCCTTTGTAGAATGTCATGTGGAAATTCGTGTTCTTCAGAAAGGAGTTGGATCATGGAGATGCACCAAGGACCTCCTTACCAATGTGGAAACTACCAATCCTGAAGAGGTCCTCTGCTGTTGCTTTCAGGATGCTTCTGGGACACTCCTGAAGTGTCATCTGGCTGTGATGGTTAGTTTTAGGTAGCAAATCACCTGCTGGAACTAGATTCTTCCTGCTGGCTTGAACATCAGAACTGCAGGCACACTGGCCTGTAGACTCTAGGACTTAGACTATTAGCTCTGGTTTTTAGGCTTAGAGCCTCAAACTAAATTACACCATTGGCTTCCACAGTTTAGACCTTTGACCTTGGACTTAGCCATTCTGTCAACATCCTAGGGTCTTTAGCTTACAGATGGCTCCATAATGAGACTTCCACAATTGTGGCAGTCACTCTCCCTATTGGTTCTACTTCTCTTGAGACCACTGACACCATTCTTCACCTGACTTTCTTCACCCTTACCGCTCCAGTGGCATCCTTTCCGTGATGGTAATTAGCATGACCTCTATGGCCTCTTTGTTATGTTTCAAGGAGTCCACTAGAGATGACCACTCAAACACAGCTTACAGCCGATTGAAAGTCTTTATTCCAATGAGTTGGGATTACACTAAGGTATTTAGCACCCAAGTCTAGTGCCAAGTTTTTGTGTTTTTTTTTAAAGATTTATTTATTTATTATTTATACATTATTTTGCCTACATGTATACCTACATGTCAGAAGAGGACACAGGATCTCATTATAGATGGTTATGAGCCACCATGTTGCTGGGAATTGAACTCAGGACCTTTGGTAGAACAGCCAGTGCTTTTAACCTCTGAGCCAGCTCTCCAGCCCTAGTGCTAAGTTTTAAGGGTAAGGATTTTTAAAGGCAAAGACCCCCCCCCCACACACACACACAATTCTGGTCTCCTGTTCAGTAATCAAGCAGTTTAACAGAAGCTAAGTTAGCTAGGGCACCTTGACCTTGGGTTCCTAGAATAGAGTTGGGTAATGTTCCATGGTATTCTCCATTAAGATCATCAAATTCAAGTTAAACCAAAAATGGCCTCAGTGAGAATGCAAGATGGAGGTGCCTCTCTGCTATCTTTCCCTGTCACATTTGCACACAGCATCGTGTCCCTCTACCTGCCATCCTGCTACCATTACTAGCACCGGTAGTGACACTGTTTTTGTGTTAGTTACCATCTCTAAACCCAGTCTTTTTTTTTTTTTTCTTTTTTAAAAATGTATTTTATTGTATGTACATTAGTGTTAGGTTGTCAGATACCTTGGCATTGGGGTTACGGACGATTGTGAGCTGCCATGGGTGCTGGGAATTGAACCTGAGTCCATTTGGAAGAACAGTCAGTGCTCTTAACCACTGAGCCATCTCTCCAGCCTCCCTAAACCCACTCTTAGCACTGCGGTCACCATCATTGCTCTTGCTCACATCACTCCCATTCACCAAAAACTTCACCTTCACCTCCATCCTTGCCATCTTCTCAGAGAGCTGCACACTCTTCGCCTTCTGATGGGACCGTGCGTGCCTGGACCATCCTTACAAACTGAAAATGCCCTAAGGCAAAAATGCATCTAATCTACATTGAACTTAGGCACCATCGCAGTTTAGAGGCACAGTCAAAGAGGATGTGCTGATGGCTATGCTTAGTCTCAGAAGAAACTGAAACGTAAAATTCAGCCAGGTCTGTTGGTGAAGACCTGTAATCTCACTTACTTGGGCAACTGAGGTAAGATTTTCAGGTTCAAGAATAGCCTGGGTGACTTAGCTAGACCCTGTCTTAAAAACAAACAAACACCTGAGCATACAGCTCAGTGATAGAGCGCTGCCTGGCATGAATGAAGCCCTAGGTTCAATCTCCAGCGCCTTGAAAAGCGGGACAAAAGTAAACGAGCAACATTTAGATCTATGGTTTCCACAGTGTGTACATCACATGTGTACCGCTGCAACAGAGAAGTTCCGTATCGAACCATCTTAAATCAAGGACCTCGTAAGCTTTGGGAGAAAGACAGACAGGGGAGTGAGAACTCAGTGACGGCACAGGCTTTATCAGGGGAAAGACCTGCAGAGCTACTCTAAGAAAATCAGAGCTGTTGTCTGCTTATAGACTGGGGTGGTTGAAGAGCAGAAGGAACAGGAGAAAGGAACTGAAAATCTTCACTTTGGGGCCCACATTGGCTGTTGCTAGGACTACCTAGGGAAATACAGTGGTTCAAAGAATGTGGAACTGAAAAAAAAAGAAGAGAGTGCCAGGTGATCAATAAACACCTCTTGTGGTTGGTTATTAGGGGGTGGTGATTAGAGACAGACTCTAGATTGACAAGGTTCTTTAGTTCTAGGAACTAAGTTACTTTGTTTTCAAAAATTGTTAGTGTTTAACCAAAATGGAAGTTTTACAAAATGTCATGACTATAAAACAACCATCTTATTTCCAACTGTTATTTCCACCATTATCTCTTCATTTACCTCCATCACCTTCACCCTATCATGACCTCCACTCCGTCAAAGTTCAGTGCCTATTGTAGAGCAGTTTCCTCCCAGATAAAATATTCCATCTTGAAGAAAACTTTGTTATGATACCCACGAAATAACATTGTGTTCACCAGGGAAGCTGCTCAGTAAACAACTTACAGGCTTTAGGAACTCCCTGAAACTGACTAGAAATACTAGCTTCCCTCCCTCTCCAAGCTTATGTAAACAACAAAGACTGCTAAAAGACACTGAAAAATGCTGAGCTTCCTGGAAGAGGCAGAAAACACTGGGCTACCTACAAGAGTCTCAGACCAACCAATTGACCTGGAAAAGATACTCTCCAATCTGTTGAGCTACCAGCAAATTGTGCAGTATGTTCCAGGTTTTCAGTTTTCATGAGTGCTTCACCCATGCTGGGTGGACTTTAGTGATACAGCTGTCTTTGAGTTATTTCTGCTCCTGTAAGCAAGCCCTCATCCACCATGCTTTTGTAAGTAACTCCCAATTAGACTCATTGGTTCACCGAATGAACTTTGGTGATATCCTTACTTTGGTCTGTCCTCAGTTCCTTGTCTAGGGTAAGTAGACATTTTTTCATGCCTCTCTAGGAACACTAATTGAACTTTTGCGGTATTTTTATTTTGGTGTGTCATCAGTTTCCTATCTGGGGTGAGTGAGTAGGTTTGTTCAGAATAGTGTTACACAACAGTGTCTAGTATTAAAACTGAGACTCAAGCCCCTGCTCCACTGCCGTGTGCCCCAGGCAGGGCTGAAGACACCCAGAGGGCGCCCCCCCTTGCCACCATGCGGTATAGGCAGCACAGATGACACTGCAATGAGCAAGTATGGGGTGGAGATGTGGGAGAAAGAGCAGCAGCATGGGTTGAGCTTATGAAGGGAGGTGGAACTCGAGACCAAGGTGGTAAGGAACAGCCTGATGTGAGTAGCCTGTGCTGCCACCTGAGGCCATGGTGATGCTCTGGCCTGTGCTGCCACTGAGGGCCATGTCTGGGTTCATGGCCCTGCAGCTGCAGGGGTCTGTGTTGATGGCCATGGCCCAGATTATCAGTAAAGGCCACGTAAACATTCCTGGGCTTAGCTGAGCCTGGGGCCATGTTGACGGGGCTGCACAGAGCTGGCCCTGCCCCTCACTGGCTGCAGCACTCAGGAAAGCATGGGGTAGGGAGGTTGCACCTAGCCTAAGCAGTGAAGAACAGCTGGTCCTAATGGCATGGGTATAAGAGGAGCTGACCCCAGGACTCCAGAGCAGGAGGGCTGGCCCCACCCCTTGCTTAGGCAAAGCTGGAGAGCGGGTCCTGGTGATGCCCTGTGCCGGGGAGCTGATGGGGCTGACCAACTCAGCTACTTCACAGGCCCAGATCCAGGGCTGTGAGTTGGCCCACCCAACATCTGTCCTGTCTATGAACTGCTGGAGTACGGGAAGGGGCAGAACCAAAGCGTCAGGATCTCCAGGACACAGGGCAACAACAGGATATCTGACAGGAGTCCCGGTGAGGGTCCCGTACTGATAGCACAGTAGAATGCAGAGGCCTCAGCCAGAGCCATGACTCACTGCAAGGAGCATTTGTAAGTCGCTGTTTGGGCAACACTGACACACTGTGACGTGCTGCAGCTTCCACAGAGAGGTTTGTTTTTTTATTTTTTGTTCTCTTTGCAGGAGGAGGTTGCAAGGGTGGAGGGCAGATATGGCGGAAAGGGGAGATGAGTGGGACTGGGTGCATAATGTAAAATTCACAAAGAATCAATAGAAAGTTAAAAACAAAAATAAAAATAAAAAACCCTGAGACTCAAGACCAGGACAAAAATCAGAAAACATCCTGCCAGGATGATAAACACACCCAGACTTTCAGAGCAAAGGATCAGCAAGCCAGGTGTCTGAACAATCTCCCCTCTTGACCTGAGAGCTGACCCTTCCTCAGGATGCCTCTAACAGGAGTCCATTCAGCCCTGTCACCATGCTTATCCCTAGAGAGACAGCTGCTGCCTGGTTGAAGGATGGGGGCCATTAATCTGGGGCTGCCCTTATTTGCATAATTGTTGCATACATTTGCATCTATTTACTCACAGCCTCTGAATACTGCACTGTGGGTGTTTGGGTACAATTTGCATATCACTGCAGGTGAGGGTCAGGTCTTTAAGACTTGGGAACTTATTAATTCCCCACCCTCAAGAGATTCTTTTATGTGGTAGTTCAGAAAAAAATTTGGAATGCTTATTTCTAGAATGACCCTGGGGAGTGCTCTTGGTGGAGAGCAGAGGAAGCTCGAGAGCTGCCAGAAGAGAATAACAGTGTGCTCACTCAGGAGAGCTCATGGTGGGTGGAGGATGTCCTCTCCCCATAGGCTCTCCACCTGGTCATGCATATCCACCTATTCTTGGGCCCCGGGGTTTGCTGCATAGGATTCCATGTGTATACTCCCAACCCCTTCAGGACTTCTGCTCACTCCCTTGAAGACTGATTTCTTAGGAACAGTGGAGCTCCAGCCCAGCCTAGGCCCACCCCCAACACCCACACAGTTCCTCCCTTCCCATCCTGAAGAAGGAATGTCCAGAGAGCCAGAACTTGATATAGTGGTGTGGCTACCTGGGGCCTTCCCCCAAATTAACTGGGGAAATAACTGGCTTAGAGAAGGAAAAGGAAAAAATGGACGAAGCCTCCTGCACACCCCTTAACAACTTGGCTCGTCAGCATCTCAGCCTACTTGTGCGTCCTTCATTGCTGAATGAAAGGTGGTCTTTGAGATGAGAGATGGCCCTGAAGAGGACCAGATCTGTTGAGGGAGGATAGCAGACCTTTGAGGTAAACCAGAAGCAGCCCCAGGAATCATTGTAGTGTTACCTGGTCGCCACTCAGCCCTAAGTGCCATGGGAACGGTGTTTGTGCGTCTTCCATCCAAACAGTTGAAACTTGGACAGTGCGCAACTTCCAATCAACACCTACTATCATTCGTGTTGGTGTCCCCGAGGTTCCGTTAGTGGAATTTAGGAATCATGTGGAGGTAGGTCCAGGGAAATGATTGACATTGTCTTAAGGACTCCACTCTTACGAATGGGGTTAGCACCCTAATGAAAAGATGAACTGGGAGTTAGCTCATTGGTGGAATGTTTTCCTAGCATCCATGAGGCCCTGTGTTTGATTCTCAGCACTGCATAAACCAGGCTTGGTGGCCCACGCCTGTCATCCCAGCACTGATGAGGCTGGAGGAGTAAAAGTTCAAGGTCATCCTAAGCTACCTAAGCAGTCCCAGGTCAGCCTGGGCTCCATAAGACACTGTCTTAAACAACAAAAACAAACAGCTACACAGAGTTTGAAGGAAGCTCCTCTTATCTCCTTTGCCATTTGTGGAGAAGGAACACACCACAGCATCTTGTGCTGGAGCTGTTAATCTCAAAGATGCAAGGAGAGAGACCCCCCCACCCAAATTATGGCCAAATTAATTAAAGCAAGCCTTTTCATTCCTGTCTGTACACAGGGTGCCTCCCCTTAAGAGGGTTCAAGTCAGCCTTGGACATAGGGAAGATAAGGGCTTTTATAGCTCAGGAGTAGAGGGTTTCCAAATTAGGGATTTGGCAGGCAAATAAGTGGGATTATAGAAGCCAAATGTAACAAGGTGGTCATAACAAGGTAGTCATGACAACAGGTGGTTAGAATAACCTTTTGAAACAAACGTAGACTTGCAAGATGGTCATAACTTTTGAAACAAAGACATGGTTGCCATTCCTGAAACAGGCAGTCCAGAACCATGTGTAGTTAAGGCTACAAGTGGAGCATAACCCAGTCCTTGAGACACAGATTTAATCATAAACAGGATTTTGCTTTACCAAAAGATGGCTTTCAAGCCCAAGATGGAAGCAGGCTTGTTCATCAGGAATACCCAGCTTGTAGGGTAAGAGGCAAGCATTTTTGTTTATGCATGACTTGGGCTGAGATATTTTGTTGAATTCTGAACACATCAAGATAGTACTCAGTATGTACTGAAATAACCTTTTATACCAAATACAGGCCCTTTAGCGATGCAGACTTTGGGTTTGATGACTCTAGGACTTTTCCATAGTTCTATGTCTAGACCCGAGCAGAAAAAGCCCACTGGGTGGTAGAGTCAATTGAATGTGCAGAGACTCGGCTCAGGTAATATACAACAAGAAAAAGAGGAATGTCTCAGCTGAGGCCTGATGACCCCCTGGAAGTGTGGCAGATGAGTGGGGGCTCCGAGCTCACGTCCTGCCCCTAATTTTAGGCTTTGTCTGGATTGGTCAGTGTCCAGGCTTGAACCACCTCATCTTTAAGACTCCACAGAGATTTCAAATCTGTTCTCCAGTAGGCCAGAGAGACTGCAAGGAAGAATGTGAAATTCAAGGAGGTTCATAGCAAGACAGGCTCTGAGACTGCCATCCCAGCTTCAGCCAAGGGGAAATTGTAACAATAAGCTCCAGTGATTTCTTTTCATATTTATTTATTTATTTTTATTTATTGTGCGTGTACATATAGAACGAATGTACCCATACCACAGCATATATGTGGCAAGGAGCTATTGGGATTCAGTTGTATCTTTCCACCCCATGAGTCCCAGGGATCAAACTCAAGTTGTCAGTCTTGAAGGTAAGTGTCTTTACCGTCTGAGCCATTTTGCTAACTTCTGCAGTGACTTTTAAAATGGGTTTGTGGGGTAGGAGAGAGGGAGTGCATCCCACACTTCCAGAGGACTTTGTGTCTAGCTCCCGGCACCCATGTTGGGTTGCTCACACTTGCCTGTAACTCCAGCCCCAACTCCAGAGAGGATCTGATGCCCTCTTTTGGCCTCCTCAGGCACTTGTACTCACATAAAGATACCAACACAGAGACACTTACATACATACACACATAATTCAAACTAAAACTAAGTATTAAGAAAGAAGAACAGGTTGGGAGTCCAGTCTTAAAATTTCTTTAAATTATTATTATTCTTGAGCTGTGTAGTATTGTGCATTTATTCCAACCAAAAGTAATGAGTTAACTTATGCCACCAGGCCAAAGCACCATCAAAGAGTATGAAGCTGCTCCCATGCCAATGTTTGCTCAGGAAAATGTTTACTCAGGATGGTTATTTGGGAAAATAAAAAACATAGTTTCTTCTTCTTGGAGAACTGGATTTTATGCAAGAACTCTAATCTACATTGTCTTGTCTTGAGAACATAGAGCTAAGGGGACACAGCATATGAATTTATCCTGATGCTTTGCTGCCAGCAAATGTTTTCTTCTAACTGTGCAAAGAAAGCCCTACTGGCAAGCCAGAGTCCCATTATTCAGTATCTCTATCGCCATCAAAAACAACAGCTAAGAGACTCAGAGCTGGCCGTTTTGGGGAGAATGTCACCTGAGAGGAAAAACCAGAAAATACAGAGGCTCAATACCTTCTGAAAGATGTTTTCTGAGACTGACATTTTGAGAGCAGAAAAGAGGGTCTGTGGAGTGGAGAGTGAGAAGGATGGTTGTCCCTTACCCAGAGGCCAGATTCTGCCGCAAGACCAATGGACTCAGTGGCCTTCCTGGAAAAATTAGCACCTGGAAGTTGTGTGCTTGTGTGTGTGCCTGTGTGTGTGTGCACACACGTGCTCATGCGAGTGTGTATCCGTGCATGAGTGTGCACACATTCAAGTGTGCTGATGTACAACACTGAGGCACCCAGCCAACCCCAGCTCCTCTGTAGGTCCATCCCTTTCTCCGTGCCTACTGACATAAAGGCTCTCAGAGCCCTGGTAGGCTGGGTGTGGAACTTGGGGGCCATGGCATGGTAGGAGACCTGTGCCTTTTACCCCAGGGGAGAATAGTTTCCTGGGCAAGGGTTTAGACTGCGGTCTCGGGAGTCTATGAGGAAAGCTGGAATCCCAGCCCAGATCAAGGAGACATTTGGAGGAGGAATAAAGGTGCAGTTATGAGGTGGACTTTGAGACCAGGAGGGGTTGGTTCTTCCACAGACAGTGGGAAGGCTGGGTGTGGGAAAGAATGTGATGACTGTGTTGAGAGGAAGGGGACAGCAGGGACACATGCAAAGGCCAGAGCTCATCTCCCCTTCAAACTTGAGTCCCAGGTGCGGTCCCTGTATGTTTACTCTTGTCTGTGAGAAGTGTCTGGTCTTACCCTCCCCATTTACTTTCAGGTGTGTGCCCCTCTGAAGACCCACCAGTCGGGAGAGTGGCTGTCCCACACTGTCCTGTCCCAGGGCACCCTCACAGTGGACTGACCACTTACTGTATGATCTCAACCGTCACGCACTCCAAGGTCAGAGGAGACATGTCCACCACCAACCAAACGCTGAAGGGTTTTTACATGATGCTGTATTACCTATAGCCTCATGCCAGGACTCATTCGACTTGGTCCTGACCCCGTGGCTGAAGACTTGCCTTCATCCACTGAGGGCATGTGTCCATTGTGTCGTTCTCAGAGCAAGAAATCCATTAATGCCTGAGGAGCCTGGGGTGGGGAGAGTCAGGAAGATGTGATGTGGACAGACACTATCAGATTTTGTTCTCTCTCCAGTCTGGCCAATGACATTCTCCTGAGTCCCGGTGAGGGGGAGTGGGGGAAGTCATGGTCTGTACTTGGACCCCTCGGGAAAGACACAGGGAATGTGAGATGAAGGCTGTGAGCCCAGGAATCAGACTTCCCGTGAGGGTGTCAGTAGTGACAGGACCATGCAGAACAACTTCTGCAAGCTGGTGGGAGGGAGCATGGCACAGAGTGTCTCTGAAGCCAAGTGTGACTGCTACAGGCTGGGCGTAGAAACCAGGGCTGGCTTCTTGGAGGAGGAAGAGAGGAGAAGGAAGCGAAGAGGATGGAGAAGGAGGAGGGCAAATCCCTGGGTAACTTACCTCTTTTTGTATGAGCTCAGCGTAAACCATGCAGGCGGCAGAGATCAGCTCATCAGCATCAAGGTCAATGAGGTTGTTGCAGGCCTAGGAAGAAGACACATGTGCATGGTGTGTGGATAAGTGTGAGCATGTGTGTGCCTGTGTCTGTTTGTGTGTCTATTCTTGTGCCTTTGGGCACAGGCAGAACAAAGGTAAGAAAGCTCCTGCTCACAGTGGTTACTGGGACGCACCTGATGTTTCCACAAACTACCTAAGTACCTACAAATTTGCATGCTTTGGGGGTATGATAAATATAGCCTTCACATGGGGGATAAGGAAGCCCTGGGCTGCTTCTGCATGGCTCGAATTCCGAAGGGAGACTTGGTTTATCGTTGGAGTACCACCTAATTTTTTCCCAGTACGTCAGCTGAATTTTAAGTACATCTAAAAACCATAGGCCTTTTTGCTACATGGCCAAGGGTTATCTTCGAGGCAGTAGAGTTTAATGGTTAGACCATTCAAGGCCTCAGTTTCCGCACGTGCTTCTGTGAGGAAGCATGTGTAGGCTCTGTCGCTGTTGCACGGCCTTTGAAGCTATTCTGTTAAAAACCATCAGCGTGGAGTGCCATACTTCAGCTCTCCTCACTTGTTCCCCTCTGGAGGCAAAATGGCCATAAGCCAGAACACCATGGGCCTGCGTCCTTCTGTGAAATGGGTACAGGGATCAGGCTGGGAGCTGGAGGGGAATCAGGTCAGGGGCACGCTCACCAGGAGGATGGCATCTCCACTCATGCTCTCCAGCAGCGCTTGCTCACGCACCATCTGTAGCATGCTGTAGGCCACCAGCACCTGGAAGTTCCTGCACGGCTTCCCCGTCAGCATGACCTGTGGGCAGCCAGCAAGCCTCAACCCTGTGGCCTGGGACCAGTACACTCAGAGTAACAACCTACCATAAACCAAACACTCCAGACAGGATATGGAAAAAACTAGATTTTGAGGGTAACCCAGGGCTTCCCCAAAACATAGGGCAGGGGTGCTGTGTTAGATTTGGGCATGGAGACTGGCAATCCAGGATTAAAAGGTGAGCCAGGTGGGGGCTGCATTGTGGGACAGTACATGCCAGACTGGCAGTCAGCTGGACCCTCTCGCTGAGAACAGCTGTGAGGCAGGCCAGCAACAGGTCGTGAGTCTGTTCCTAAGGGGGAGTCATCCGCTGGTGGCCCTGGGAACTGGGGTTGGAACACTCCAGGTGTCCTTGGGGCCTGCCGTGGGGGAAAGCCATTTCTAAGAGAAGCCAGCATTCTAGAGGAAGGAAGGGCTAAGAAGGGGCAGTGCAGGACAGCAGAGGGCAGGGACAGCGTGGCTGAACAGCAGCGGGTGCCTCTGTGCCAACTGCCCTGTGGAAGGCCAGTGGAGTCTGGCATCATACTTGATGGACAGATGCTCTGGCATTCTCCAGTAAGGCGGGGGTAGGGTTGCTGACCTAATTAAAGCCCAAATCACAGAGCATCCTCCAAAGCTAGAAAGAAAAGGAGGCAGGAAAACTCGACGAAGGAGGGGCTCTGTCCACCTAAAGCGTCCCCGGCTGCACAAGTCTCACCTCCCAGAGCCTCCAGACATCATCGAAGGATTTGAAGGCATGTTGGAAGCAAAGGCAGAACCAGGGGAAGAGGGACTGCACGGCTCCTGAGCCCTTCCCTTCTGTGGGGAGAGAGGCAGGCGCTTAAGCAACCACACAGGGAAGGCCGCACCACAGAGCTTGGGAGACGTGAGAGACATGAACATTCCAGCTGCTGCTCTCCCAACAAGCTGTGGAGTCTGTTTGTAGCAGACGCTCAACACCATAGGCCCAGGCTCCTCCACATTGGTCCTTCCCCTCCAGAGGTGTCTGCCTGGCTGAGCCCCGGCCCTCCCACAGTCTGCCTCCTGGTGTGGGAAGCAGCAGGGACTGTGAACCACTCACTGAGGTGTTCAGAAAATTCAGGGTCCAGTAAAGCGATCAGGCTGTTGAGCATGTCCAGGTTCTTGCCTACCCCGACGTTGATGACACAACTGTGCTCCTGTAACAAGACGGGAACAGGAAACAGTGCTCCTCAGTTCAGCTTGAGGGCACCATGGAACAAAGTTCACCTCCCAGTGCCAACTCTGAGAGGCCATGTGTCTGAGCCATTCTCTTCTGTGTGTGTGTGTGTGTGTGTGTGTGTGTGCGCGCACACACACACACACACGCACGCGCGCACCCCTATTGTTTGCACATGTGTGCATCTCTGGGCAACCATGTATTCATGTGCGTGTGGGGGTGGGTGGAGCTGCAAAGATGTCCTGCTTGTGGCAGTGACCCTGATGGCTAGGTCAGAGCCAAGAAGGAAAGTTCAGCAAGCACATTATTGAAGGGGTGCAAAGAAAGGAACGGGTGTGGGAAGCTTCCAGAAGGCAACAACGCTTCCCAGATGGCAATGCTCTGAGCCTGCACCCAGGTACTACCGAATCCTCTGGGGTGTCCGGACTATAGGTCAGGGGAGGGCAGCAGGGGGAGGCAGGAACAGAGAGGCAGCCTTGGAGGCCTGACAAAGGCGACTGGACTTTATTCTGGAGGCCTGGGGAGCTACAAGGGATCAGAAGGGAGATTTGTGTTTAAGGGATGAAAGGCGACCACCATGGAGCCTGATGGGATTGGGACTCTGAACAGCCCTCCTGAGCTCTAAAGGCCTCTACCACCCATGCCCTGACCTACAGGGTGTTTGGGGAGGAAGTGTCTGAGGCTGTTGGTGCCTTGGGCTTGGTGGTGAGGAACGGGAGATTTGAACCCCTCTTTGTCCTTACTGTTTTCTGTAGAAAGAACTGGAAGAGCCAGAAGGTCTCATGGTCATGCTCCACCATCAGCTGGAAAAGCATCATCATCTCATGGAAGCCTCGCTGGTACTCTGCGGGGAAGGGCACAGGTGAGGAAGAGCTGGTAGGCGCTGGGCCAGGATCCAGCAGGGAGGCCACAGGGGGCCGAAGCTCCACGCTCAGCTCACCAGCCTTTGTGTTGCAGACATAACTCAGCAACAAGTTCTTCTCCAGTTTCTTCTTGTCCACCAGCACGTTGCCCAGGGCGTCTTTGTCACAGAGCCTCTGGAGGTCATACGCTAGAGTAGAGCAAGGGACAGGAGGTGGCACTCAGTCATCTCCAGCATAGAAAGCATGGATAAATTCATCTCCCATCCTTAAAAAAATACGAGCAGGGGTCTACAAAAAGGCATGTCATCCCCACCAGGCCCAATCTCTTATCATACCCTGTGGGTCTGGGCTTCTTCTCACCTCCAAATCTTTGACCAGGCCATCCCTCTGTCAAGGAAGGCCCTGCCCATCGAGCTCAAATCTAATCTAGTTCAAACTCAAGGGATGGGAGGAAAAGACAAAGCAACAGGCATAACACGTGGCAGGGAAACACGTCTAGGGATACCTGTGGGCATGGGTGGGCAGCTTGACCCAGGTTTGCCTAGGAAAAGTTCCGGGCCAAAGTCAAGACAATTGCCAAGCCCCAGGAGTCGCCTGTGCCTTGAAACCACCAGGGGAAGACCGGAAAGCTGCCTGCTCGGCCCTCCTCTCCCTCTGCTCACCAATGTTGTTCCGAGTCTCTGTGAAGTTCCCATGCAGGTTTTCCAGTAGGGGCTGGATTTTCTCATACATCTGGCACAAGGCTTGATAGTTCCTCCTGCGAGAACAGCATTGGGGCTGAGTGAGGCAGCCTTCCCCTTCCAAGAGGGGACAGTTCAGAGCAGCAGCTGCTGATGAGCTCAAGGGGAGTAGGGTGGACTTGCCCACCTGGTCCCCACTGCCCGTCTCAGCATGAGTGGCCTTGAGCGAGCATTCCCCAACATGCAGCTGGCACAGTGTGGAGACAATTAACATGGGCTGGGCTCTGTGTTTGACCGGAACCCAAACCCTGGAGCCACCACCTGCCAACCTGCAGAAGGATGTCACCCTCCCTCTCTAGGCCTCAGTTTCCTCATCGGCAGAGTGGGGGCAATCCTGGCAGCCCCTGACTTGGAGGAACAGTCTTATGCTGAGCGCTGCAGTTTGATTAGTCGGCTCAGGAACTGACTGGGGACCTCTAAGGGTGATCCTGCCCTAGAAGCGGCCCCTAGAACCTGTAACATGGTCTTATTTATAGAAAGGGCTCTTTTCCAGTGTGATTGAGTATCTCAAGATGAGATCATTCTGGATTTTCCAGAGGAACCCTAATTAAATGACAACTGTCTTCATAACACACGTGCACGCGCACGCACACACACACACACACACACACACACACACACACACACACATGCACACAGAGGTGGGAGGACTTGTGTCCACTGAAGCAGGGAGTGAATGGATGTAGCCTCAAGCTGAGGAAGCTTCCGTGGGAGGTGTGAGAAGAACCTTCTGTCTCTCAGAGCCTTCCCGGGAGGCCAGCACACAACCTCGTCTTCTGCCTCCAGGATGCCAGAGGAAAAAAAAAGTCTGTCATTGTCAACCACCCTATTTGTGGCTCTTTGCTTGTTCATGGCTCTTTGTCTCAGCAGTCATGTGTGCTAACACACACAAGGCTTGTTTCCTGGCCTTGGTACCTGGTCTGACACATCCTTACTGTCCTGGACTATTCTCTGCTGGTCCCTGGTGGAGCTGTCTTTTCCATACCCTGGCTGGGAGCCACCTTAGCGCTGAGCCCGGCGTCTGCTCCAGGCCCCCAGGCTTAGGCAGGCAGCCTTGGAAGAACACCTCTGAGAAGGAAGCAATCCACTGTGGGGCCACTCAGAGCTGGCCTACCTAGAGGCCTCACACAGACAGGCGAGGCCTTCAGTGAGCCACAGACAAGGTGCCTGGAGGACTTGTCTGCCCCAGCGGCATGCCCCAGGCTCAGCAAGTCAAGCCTCAGGGTCACAGAAGATTAAAGTCAGAAGCCTCTGGCTTTGGGGGGCATCCCACCAACATAAACCCTAGCTGTTCTTTCTCTTAGTGTGATGACATGCCTGCTTCTAGAATTAGCTCATTATAACCACTCAGAACTGAATTCTCTCCCAAACCTAAGACTGTTCCAGGTTCAAAGCTTGTGAACTACTGTCCTACAAAGATCCTCCAGTCAACCAGGGCATGCTGGAGGAAATGCCTTGATTGATTCTGGCCTTGAAACAAGCATAGAGCTTTGTATTTATTTATTCAGTGTGTGTGTGTGTGTGTGTGTGTGTGTGTGTGTGTGTATGTGGTCTATTCAACATGGATGTGCCACATACTCATGGAGGTCAGAGGACAATTTGTGAGAGTCTGCTCTCTCCATCCGCCATGAGACTGAACTAAGATTATCAGGTTTGGTGGCAAGTCCTTTATAACCTGGGCAATCCTACTGGCCCAAGGGCGGGATTTCAGGAGACAGACAGTAGGGAGACCGTTGTGGGTGGAGGGAGAAAGAGTGACCCAAGAGCAGAGGGTGTACAAAAGAATAGCCAGCTCAGGCACAGATGAAAGAGAGTGCCCCTGTGCCAGTCAGTTTTATATCAGCGTGACACAAGCCAGAGTCATTTTAGAGGAAGGGACCAGATTAGCCTGTGGGGAAGCCTGTCGTGCATTTTCTTGATTAATGATTGATGTGGAGGGCCTAGGTTAGTGTGGTTGATGCCACCTCTCAGCTGGTCCTGAGTGCTATAAAGAAAGCAGGTTGAGCAAGATGTGAGGACCAAGCCAGTAAACAGCACTCCTTCACGGCCTCTGCATCAGTTCCTGCCTCCAGGTTCCCGCCCTGACTTCCCTCAGTGATGGATTCCAATGTGAAGCTGTAAGCTGTGAAACAAGCCCTCTCCTCCCAAACTTGCTTTGGGGCATGTTGTTTCATAGCAGCAATGATAACTGACTCTGAGACAGTCTCTCGGCAGCTGCTGTGGTCAGATGGAAGGTCCTGGGATGAGGGAGCAGGATTAAGAAAGGACATGCTGCTATTTGAAATGTCAGTAGACATGCTTGTAGGACTTGTTTAACCTGAGGGCATGAGTAGCCCATACTAGGCACCGGAAACTAGATGTGGACAGGGCAGAGAGGTGGAGCCTAGACTCAGGAGCCAGTTTGGCTATGGGGTTTTGGGGTAGCAGTTGGCAGGAGAGGGGATTGGGCCCAGAAAAGAAAATTCCTAGGGCCCTTCACAGGTAGGCTGCGCAGGGAGGGGTGAGGCGGAGCAAGGCGGTAAGGGAAATTTCGGGACAGGCCTCTGCCTACAGCTGCTTATGTGGTCAAGGGAACTGGAGAGGAGGTGCCCGCTTAAACCTGGTTACACTGTGTGTGAGCCCTTTGCAGGAAGCGTCAGGGATCTTCTCGGAGTAAAGACACCAGATGAAGAAGAAACCTGAATCTCCAGGCTGAGAGGGTACTCCACCACCCCACCACCTACTGCCACCGGAAGCCCCCACTACTCCCCACTGAAAGAGGTTCTGGAAAGTTCTACCTCCTGTTGCTGTCCACCATGAGCCGCTCATCTCGGGAACTCTGCCATGAGTAGTAGCCTGTGAGGAACTTCCAGGCTTCCGTCCTCACGAAGGGGTGTAGACCCTGGCACGGGAGATCATGAACTCTGAAGATGCCTGCTCAGAGGGCTTTGCCCAATACCATACCCGACCCCTGCCATAGGTGCCACCCCCTAGTGCCAGGGCAAAGCTGAGGGTAGCCTGGGAAGCGTACCCTTTCCAGGATGTTAACACAGATGAAGTCTCGTGACTTGGCTAAGTGACCATTCTCATCGAAGAAGCTGTCCCATTCAGACTTGTCAATTGGGGGGTTTCTCTTTGTCTGTTGAGGACAACCAGATTAGTTCTGTGCTAGAGGCTTTGGGTTTTCCTTTTATTGTGAGCTGATTTGCAAACGCTAGGCTCTGGACTTTCTGAGGGGTCAAAACTCAAGTCTAGAATACTCTATCCTGAGGAAATTGCTGAAAATAAGTGTAAAACGAAAATCCACGATGGACACCGTACATATCTTAAACCAAGTGAAAAATGTAGTACTCTGAATGCTCTGCAATAAGGGAATAATTAAGTAAACCATATGTGTGTGTGTGTGTGTGTGTGTGTGTGTGTGTGTGTATGTATGTATATATGTGGAACACTGTGAGGCCTAGAAACACATGTCTATGAGGCATAAGCAATAATCTGAAACAAATACACAAATGTCGACAGAAAAGAGCAGAATGCACAGATTGATACCTGGCACTCTCTGTGCGCCAGCACCATCTCTCCGTGTAGCCTGTGATGTGACGGGAGCATGGCCCAGCTACACGCTGCGCCCTCTAGTCCAGCCGCATGAGTGTACACAGAACTACTGCGTAAAAGCTGTACCACGTCATAAACTCAAATGGACCAAAGAGTCTCAGAAAAAAGACTGCAGCGAGGACATAGTGGCACACGCCTGCGACTCCACCCCAGGCCTGGGAGGCAGAGGCAGGCGAATCTCTGAGTCTGAAGATACCATGGTGTGTATAGTGAGCTCCAAGAAGCTACACAGTGAGACCCTGCCTCAACAGCAACAACAAATAAGTAAGTAAATAAATAAGAAAAGATACTGAAGAAAACACCCTCCACAACAGTGAGGCTAGAGAGATGGCCCAGCAGTTAAGAGCACTGGCTGCTCTTCCTGAGGGCCCAGGTTCGATTCCCAGCACCCACATGGCAGCTCACAACCAGCTCTAACTCCAGTTCTGGGGTACCTGATGTCCTCTTCTGCCCTCCTTGGACACAAGGTACGTGTGATGCGCAGACATACATGCAGGCGAAACAGTCATACACATAAAATGTAAAGAAAATAAAACCGGTAGTGGGTGACGGTCGGAAGGTGGCTCAGGTGCTCGAATGCTTGCCTGGCACACAGGACGCTCCAGGCCTGATCCCCAGCGCCATATAGCTGGTGTGCCTACACCCTCCCATGGAGGCAGAAGGACCAAAGTTCAAGGTTATTCTCAGCTATAGAGTGAGTTCAAGGCCAACCTGGGACGCATAAGACCCAGTCTCCAAAAAAAAAAAAAAAAAAAAGCGATTGTTTTTGAAGGTTGGGGTTGGGGAGTATAAATATTTCTTTTTCCTTTTTAAATGTACTTTATGTTTTTCTAGAATTGTGCTGCTTTGGTAATGGAAAGGCATAAGGTAGGCACAAATTAAACAATTCATGTGCTCTATTTTGTCTTCCCTGAAAACGTAAAGCAGCCTGTCGCAGGGTATTCGGGTGAGGAGAAGTGTGTGCCCGTGTGCACACGCTCGTCTGCCACACACTGTGTGTGAGCTGTAATCACAGTGCCCACAGAGCATTTCTAAAACAGCAGCCAAGAGCGAGGCTGAGGCATGAGCGCAAGATCGCTCTCCCCAGGGTACCTGCTCAAGAGAAAGGTCTTGAAATGCCACACTGCAGAGAGATGTGCTCATGGGCAGAGCCCAGGAGCTGAGCGGGCGTGCCCCCCTCTTTCTCTTAATACCAGAATGTGTGGACACACAACTCTAAATTAAGTCCGAATCCAAATCACTTGAGGGTCTTCTGGTTCAGGAAGTTCGGGGACCAGCCTACGGAGACGCGTTTGTGACGAGTTTCCTGGGCGATGGAGGCTGTGGCTCACAGACGGAGTAAGGAGCCAAGTGTCCGGAAGTGGAAAAACACTTGACACTAAAAGTAGCAGCAGAGCCACTGTCTGCGGGCGGGGCAGTTTCACTGCGCTGTAGAGCTCCCTTTATTGCTGTTGTCGTTATTGCTGTGTGTGTGTATGAGAGAGAGTGTGTGTGTATGGATGCACACGCATGTATGCGTGTATGTTTGCACGAATGTGGGCACGTATGTATGAGTACATGTGGAGGCCTGAGGTTGCCATGCTGAGGCTCATCTTTGATTGCCCGTTCAACTTTATTCAGTGAGTCAGGGTTTCTCAGTCAAACCTAGAGCTCACTGATGCGGCTCGTTCCCCTCATCAGCTTGCTCTGGGGACTCCCGCCTCTGCCTTCTGAGGTTGGAATTACAGGGGAACCACCACAGCCACCCAGCATTTCACATGGGATCTGAACTCCTGTCCCCATGTTTGCAAGAAAAGTGTCTTAGTGTTCAGCCTGAACACCGCTCTTTAATCACTCACACGTGCCTTATGCCCTGGGCCAACACTGAGACACAGGGCACTAGAAGGTCCAGGGAACCAGGACACCCGTCTGCCCTTGCTTAAGTCAGGCCTCCCCAACACTGGCAATCAGCTCCACACTTGGGAGTTCACAAAATGATGAGAAGGACTTGTCAGCTCACTGTCTGGGTCTGGAGAACAGGTCTGACTGTCAGGATGCAAAGGCTCCAAGATCCATTTCCTCACTCATCAAATGATAATAGCTCCATCACATCCCATCTCAGAGGGCTGGGATGAGAAGGAATGACTATAAACAGAGCATCTACAACATCATTTGTACGCACCAGCTGCTGTATGGGAACTTATTCATCATTATTATTATTAGCCTTCCCTAAGTTTGGAGAATGGAAGAAATGCAGAAAAGAATATTCAAAGCTTGGTGATCATCTGCGATAAAAGCGTAACATTTAAACCTCAGGTGCTCACTTTGCATTTTTATGTATCATTATGTTAATCGCATGACAAATGGGTCTTGAGATTGGTTATGACCATCGTAATTAGTAATTATTTTGAAAAATCGTGCGTGGAAAATTTTCATGGTGCGGGTGGACTAAGGACTAGGTTATTAACTGGGCCTAGGAACTAGTAACAGAAGCACTACTGCCACCTGGTGGCAACGTACCAAAATTGTTGGCAAAAGCACCAAAGAGAGCGCCCCAGTGTCGGAGCAGCTCCAAGTTTAGCGTGACACAGCTGAGGAGGAAGCCGTACTGGGCTCTGAGATCTCCCAATAAAGTAAAAACGGGTGGAGGTGTCCGCCCTGTGTTTGGTGTTGAAGGTGAACTGGCCGTGCTCCACCTTCCTTGTCCAGCCTTCCCGTTCAGCAGGGACAGAGAGTCCCAAGGTAAACCAGAGGAGAGAGGCACCCGGAACTGATGGACAACATGTGTCAGTCAGGGATGGTGGCATGAACTTGTAATCCCTGCACTCAAAAGGCTGAGGCCCAAGGATTCCAAGTTCAAGGCCAGCCTGGGCATCACAGTGAGACCTTATCTCAAACCAAAGAACATACCAGGATGAAGGTGGCGGAGCGCTTCACAGAGAGGCTACTTTCTGGAGAAAGGGTGGTCATGTTTCCTCTAGCTAACTCTTTGGAGTTGCCGGTGTCCAGCTGTCCCCGGGAAGCCCTAGGGGTGCTTAGAGAGCTAGGGAAGGGGATCTTCCTTTTAGGAGATGAATTGCATTCCCCGAAGGAACTGGACCTTCCTAGGTTTTCCATGCTTGAACAATTTCAGCTGGATGCATGTCACAAGGCTCTAGAACCCTCATCACAATGACCCTGGAACACACACAGTAACTATACTGGTCACCCCCCAAACTTCTGTGCATACAGATTATGTACTGGAGTCTGAGTTAAAGGGATCAGGTGGCTTGGGCTAGCCAGGGCGGCCTGCCTGGAAGTGGTGGTCCACAAGTCCCTTCTCCATCTCTCTGGCTGTTATTTACCAGATCAGTACCAGAGTGCAGTAATAACTACAGTCGGAGCCTCAGGTTTAGCGAGGACTTTCCAATTTGACATGATTTATATGATTGCAAGTCTGGTCTGGAGGCGAGGAGTGGATTTTTGTGAGTCTACTTACAGGGCTGAGTGGCTCCTGGTGTGAGTGTCTGAGTCTCCACCTTATTTTTTGAAACAGGGTTTCTTGCTCAACCTAGCTCTACTGGCAGGTCAGTGAGCTGGTTCCAGTTACCCACTTGTCTCTGTCCACAGCACTGGAGTTACAGTTGCCTACAGCTGTGCCTGGCTTTTTACAAGAATGCTAGAGGTCCAAACTCAGGTCGCCATGCTTGCACAGCCAACACCGTCCATTGTCCCAGCTCCCAGCCCTCTATTTTATTTACCTGTATACTGAGAGCATGATCTTGACCAAAGGAAGGCTGCTGGCTTGAGAACCAGCTGACTGAATAATTTAGTGGAATAGGAATAAATGACACCGCGTGGTGCAGTGGCCAGTGCCTTTAATCCCAGGGCCCAGGAGGCAGAGGCAGGCAGGTCTCTGTGGGTTTGAGGTTGCCTAGTCTGCACAGTTCTAGGATAGCCAGGGTTACACAGTGAGATGCTGTCTTGGAAGAAAACAAACAGAGGGATATAGGACATACATTAAATAGGATATGTTTAATTTAGAGAGGAAACAGGATGGGAACCTTCTATAGAGGGTTCTCTGAAAGGCTCCACCCAACAGGGGATCAAAGCAGATGCTGAGACTCACAGCCGAACTTTGGGCAGAGGGCAGGGAGTCTCATGGAGGAAGAGGGAAGTGGGGATAGAAAAACATGGAGGGGACAGGAGCCCCACAAAGAGACCAACAAAGCTAAAAAATTTGAGCCTAGGGGGTCCTGCAGAGAGTGATGCACCAAGGGAATACCATGCATGGAGAGGACCTAGACCCCCTGCTCAGATGTAGCTGACTGGCAGCTCAGTCTCCATGTGGATCTCTGAGTGAGGACAGCAGGGGCTGCCTCTGTCATGAACCCGGCTGCCTGCTCTTTGATCACTTGCCACTGGTGATGCGGCCTTGCCAGGCCACTGAGGAAGAGGATCCAGGCAGTCCTGAGGAGACTTCAGATGGCAAAGGAGGAGAACTCTGCCTTTCAGAGGACTAGAGAGAGGGGATGGGGAAAGAGGGAGGGAGGGTGGAACTGGGAGGAGTTGAGGGAGGGTGAATAAATTGTGAAAAAAAAGGAAAAAGAAAACAGAATAACTGACACCTTGTCATACCCCTTTCTCTGTCTTCTACATGTCCCTTTTCCCTCCTATCCTGATTTTCTTTAGACCAAGCTCACTCCCCCAGTGCCCCACCCCACCCCACCCCCCTACCCCAGCAGCTTCCTGGTGGCTGGTGGGAGTTGCTGTTGAATGGGTCTGAGAAGATGGCACCTCTCAGCTGCAGAGTCATGTTCTCTGCCCCCAGCATTGCTTGCCTTTCTCTTCAGGTCTATTCTGGATAGAAAGCATCTTTAGTCATTACACAAACCAACTTGCAGTCAGGAGCTCCAAGGTGGAACTTGGAGTCTGACCTCAAACTTGAATGCTACCAATCCCCCGGATTCCCCAGCTATGAAATCAAAACACAATCAGCCTCCGCCTTTCATATCCTTACTAACTGGGTTGCCCATATGGAAGGCTTGCGTGGACACAATTTATTGTCTCATTGCCTGTGTCTGTTCTGCCGGCTGGAGGCACTACAGGAAGTCACTGAAAGCCCAGCACCTGTCCTCTGCCTCCTGCTTCCCCACCCATATACAGGAAGATCCCGAGGGTCTCTGCCCCTCAGCCTGCAGTCTTCACAGAGCTGGAGAGGTGGGCAGCACCAGTAGGAACTGAGTGGAACAGGAATCAAGTCTGTGCACATCAGAGAGACTTCATTTGGAGGTCTGTGAGGTTTCCAAGTCAAACGTGGGAAGCAGGAGACACGGCGTGGGCGTTCCTCACCTCGCTGATGACGGATGCCTCTGTTCCTCCACATTAGCAATGCACATTGCGGGGAATTAACTGCAAGCTTCCCCGGAAAAGAGGAGGACTGGGCAGAAACAAGTTGGAACCATGCAAATGCTAAATGCAACTTGTTTTTAAAGTGAGGGTGGTGGACATAGATCATCTGCTGAACTTCCTTTAACCTTCCGCTCCGTGGGTGCAAATGCTGGGTCATAACTCTGCTTCAAATGAGCCAGCCCGTCTACTCATATTACTGAAGCCTCATAGAAATAACACAGAGGCTTAATATTCAAACAGAATCAAAGGAACCACGCAGAGTACAAAGGGCCTGACCTACATCTTTTCAGATACTTAAAAATAATGTATTTATTTGTGTGTAAGTGTATGTCCACGCAAGTGGGTGCACAATTGTGTATGTATGCACAGAGACCAGAATAAGGTGTTGGACCTCCTCCTCTCTCACTGCCCATCTATTCCATTAAGGCAGGCTCTCTCCTCAAACCTGGGGCTCCCACTTTCTCCACTACCCTGAAAAACAGCAAGCCTCAGCTTTCCTTCTGAGTCATCCTCCACGTCAGAGCCGGGGTTAGGTGTACACCAGATGCCCAGCTTGTTATGTGGGTGCTGGGGTCCAAATCCCTGTCCTCGTGACTGTGCAGCAAACACTCACCTGCTGAGCCATCTCTCATCTCGTTTGCAGATGCTCACCATTGCTTCATGTCTCCTGGGGCTGAACAGTCCTTGCATCCATTTGTGTCTATAATTTTCAAAGATTTGGGGTACCAGGGTTTACCTTGTTGTACCTCCCACTCTCTCACACACATCTAGCTTTCTGCTTTAAACCTCTGCACGGAGATGCTTCAGGGCACGAGAGCCATAGATTCTGCAGTGCCACACTCGGGTTAGCACTACAGAAGCCTACCTGGGCCATCTCTTCCCTTAGCAATCTGGCTGTTAGCTGACGGGCAGCGTTGGTGAGGAGAGAGGAGGTTCTCCAGGGGTCAGGGAACTCCCACCTTCAGACATTTCAAACCTCTGCCTTGTTATTTTTGTTTTGTTTTAAAATAGTATACCACTGACCTGGAATTTATTAAGTAGGTTCAGCTTACTGGCCAGCCAGCCCAGGGGTCTGCCCGCCTCTTCCTCCCCAGCGCATTGAGTGTAGGTGTGTGTCTGAGTTCAGGTAAGAAAGCTCTTGAGTTGTGGTGCCAGGCAGACTTGTATCTCAATCCAGCCACAGTTTCACCAATGATACGACCTTGGACCCAGCAGTGGGTAAAAGTGACCAGGTACACATCACGTTTGGATTCCTGCTCGACCTCAGGAGAGTGGCTGTGACCTAAAGCCCCTTTCTCCCAAGAAATAAGGTACACTAAGCTTGCGTGGGACACATCACTTTTCTGAAAGCATCTTTCCTGTTCCAGGCTCGAAGCGTGCTCCTTTGTTCTTCTTAAGCTTGTGCGTCACATGGCTCCTAGCCAGCCCCGCTGCTAGCACCCTTCCAGGTGGAGCAGGAACGAGGCTCCTTCCCATTGCACTGAAGGCTACGAGAAGGTCATCGTCCTGTGTTGGTCGAGAACTGAGACCCCACACCTCAGTCACAGAGATACAGACACCCACTGTTGAAGTCGCTCTTTCTCTGTCTCTGTGTGACTGAAGCGTGATTCTGCCCGGTGCTGGGTGACTTGTGTGTGTGTCTTGGTGACACCTGCCAGCCGTGGAGGGGGTTGACACCCTGAGCTGCTCCTGGCAGCAAGCATTGTTGTGCCATTTGCCGGCTTCCACACAATGAGACTCCTCCCAGGAGGTGGAACAGAAGTCATTCAGTTGACACCACCTCTCCTTACCTGGTGTGAATCTGAATCTCGGCAGCCTCCCAGCGCCTTGGGGGATGGTAATGCCTGTTGGGCCTGAAGGATAGATGAGGCAGTGTCTGTAAGGAGCCCAGCATGGCTGTCAGGCACAGGGGTGCCAGCGCTGGCACTTACTTCACCCCAGCTTCACCACCGCTAATCCCTGCTTCCAGAGCTCGTCCCTAAAAATCACTGATCGAGACAGTCAAGATTCCATGAGGCTTGTAGCAACATCTGCGCCCATGTTCAAAGATCCCACAAACCTGTCTGTGTCTGTTCCCCTGCATGTGCCAGCGTGAACCTAAGAATTACTAGAAAAGCGGTGTGTGAGGAGCCGAGTTGCCTTGCGTTCCCTCAGTGCCAACACCACATCACGCAACTCTAAGTTGTCACTACTCAGCTGCTTCTCTGTTAATTGTCCTAGCCCCTTCAAAGTATACCTCCCAGAACCCTGGGGAGTGGGGCAGTCCTCCAGAGAAACCCTGCCCATTGAAGAGGTTGTGCTGGGCTTTTCTTTTGCCCCTCTGTGCGGGGAGCCAAGATAAGTTTAGATTTTGGGTGTCAGGCTTTCTGCCCTCACTCCCACGGAGCAGGGTATTTCTGACAACGCTGGAGATGGCTGCGTGTCATGTGTCACCTGTGTGACAGGAACGGGGTGAGGGTGGAGCGGGTGGTAGCAGCGGTGCTTTTCTGAGCACTGAGATGCTGGAGTCTCCCTCGCACCAGAGCAGCCCATCCTCACTGGAAATCTTCTGTACTGCTTGGGGTGCCTAGGAGTTATCT